AATTTCGCAAAGAAGAGTGGGCCAAAATTCCTCCACAGTGATGTGAAGGACTCATTGCCAGTTATCGCAAACGCTTGATTGCAGTTGTTGCTGCAAAGGGTGGCACAACCAGTTATTAGATTTAGGGGGCAATTACTTTTTTCCCGTAGTGCCAGGCAGGTTTAAACAGCTTTTTTTTCCTTAATAAATGAAATCATTATTTCAAAACTGCATTTTGTATTTACTCAGGTTATCTTTGTGTAATATTAAAATTTGTTTGATGATCTGAATCATTCAAGTGTGACAAATATGCAAAAAATAAAAATAAAAAACAGGAAGGGGGCAAAAACGTATTCACACCACTGTATCTGTGATATATAACAAGCAATTCATACTAGTGATTCAAAAAAGGTCTCTTTTTATTACATTGTGTCAACCTTAATAAGCTGTGGTTTTTCAATGCCACAAACTTCTTCCTTACTGGGTTGGAAAGCACCACAGTGCACAATAGATCGCTCTACATTTAGGAATGTAGTGTGCTTACAAGGCCATCTGAAAATGCCTCATTGCCTGTTTGGCTCTAAGGACACGGAGAGAGATGTGGCAGTCCTACAGCCTAATCAAAGGAGATGTGTTAGCTGTAGTATCGATCCATGAAATGCTAAGGCAGACTTCTGGTTTTGTTGTCACGCTGACACGTTTCAAGATGTGAACCTTTCATATGAAGACCATTCTTCTACAAGGCCAAACAACATGCTTTAAGAAATATGTCTTTTAGGAAATGACAAATTGATGGGTGCAAACTGCCTTTAGAGTTTTAAATGGTTCAAAATCTGAAAATTCATCCCCTATAAGGCATTTAGTCATTAAACTGAAAATGTGGTGAAAATGCTTTTGTGAAGAAATCAAGAGCCTTCATATATATGTACATTAATGAGGAAAAAAAATTAACTTAAATGATTTTAGCAAATGGCTGCAATATAACAAAGAGTGAAAAATTTAAGGGGGTCTGAATACTTTCCGTACCCACTGTATATGCATGTTTAAAAAAAATATTTATATGGAATATCATTGTTTATGGTATGGTATGGTAGACAGTCTAAAACAGAAATTTACGACATGCTAAGGACACATCACACAGGTTTCATCACAGTTTTGGAAGTCTTATGAGATTGAGGTGTGGAGTGAGATTAAATCCTACAACTGATGAAGCCACTTGGATCAGAGGTGGGACAATAAATTGAAGAACACCCCTAGATGCTCCAGAGTAAATTTTTCTAGACATGCTATTGATGAAGTGATGACCTCTGTCTTTCATCAGAAAGCTATCATGCCTGTGATTTGAGTTGGGACAGAAGTCCCTCTTCGTGCCATGCATTACCAAAGCAGGTGATACAAAAAAAAAAAAAAACCTTGCTAAATC